GGAGAGGGGATATAGCGAATGCGGGGTCCTGGGGAGAGGGGATATAGCGAATGCGGGGTCCTGGGGGGAGGTCCGGGCGGGGGATAAAGCGAAGCGAAATGCGGGGTCCTGGGGAGAGGGGATATAGCGAATGCGGGGGTCCTGGGGAGAGGGGATATAGCGAATGCGGGGTCCTGGGGAGAGGGGATATAGCGAATGCGGGGTCCTGGGGAGAGGGGATATATAGCGAATGCGGGGTCCCTGGGGAGAGGGGATATAGCGAATGCGGGGTCCGGGGAGAGGGGATATAGCGAATGCGGGGTCCTGGGGAGAGGGATATAGCGAATGCGGGGTCCTGGGGAGAGGGGATATAGCGAATGCGGGGGTCCTGGGGAGAGGGGATATAGCGAATGCGGGGTCCTGGGGAGAGGGGGATATAGCGAATGCGGGGTCCTGGGGAGAGGGGATATAGCGAATGCGGGGTCCTGGGGAGAGGGGATATAGCGAATGCGGGGTCCTGGGGAGAGGGGATATAGCGAATGCGGGGTCCTGGGGAGAGGGGATATAGCGAATGCGGGGTCCTGGGGAGAGGGGATATAGCGAATGCGGGGTCCTGGGGGAGAGGGGATATAGCGAATGCGGGGTCCTGGGGAGAGGGGATATAGCGAATGCGGGGTCCTGGGGAGAGGGGATATAGCGAATGCGGGGTCCTGGGGAGAGGGGATATAGCGAATGCGGGGTCCTGGGGAGAGGGGATATAGCGAATGCGGGGTCCTGGGGAGAGGGGATATAGCGAATGCGGGGTCCTGGGGAGAGGGGATATAGCGAATGCGGGGTCCTGGGGAGAGGGGATATAGCGAATGCGGGGTCCTGGGGAGAGCGGATATAGCGAATGCGGGGTCCTGGGGAGAGCGGATATAGCGAATGCGGGGTCCTGGGGAGAGCGGATATAGCGAATGCGGGGTCCTGGGGAGAGCGGATATAGCGAATGCGGGGTCCGGGGAGAGCGGATATAGCGAATGCGGGGTCCGGGGAGAGCGGATATAGCGAATGCGGGGTCCGGGGAGAGCGGATATAGCGAATGCGGGGTCCGGGGAGAGCGGATATAGTGAATGCGGGGTCCGGATAGAGCGGATATAGCGAATGCGGGGTCCGGATAGAGCGGATATAGTGAATGCGGGGTCCGGATAGAGCGGATATAGCGAATGCGGGGTCCGGATAGAGCGGATATAGTGAATGCGGGGTCCGGATAGAGCGGATATAGTGAATGCAGGGTCCGGGGTTTAGTAACACCAACTGAAATTCATTATTATTGTGATTAAAACATTTTTGGATACATCCGAATCTCCAAATAGCGTAAATTTTGTCCAGATTTTGATCCGTAATAAATTAATCACAGCATAGCAGCCACCCTCTCGTTCTTGATTCCGAGATGGACTATAGGATTTATGGAATGTGTAGTGTGCATAGAGCAGTGTACATAACCGCAACCAACTCCCCTGTGGCAGCTCCCAGGGGTGTACAGAGGAATGGCTCACATCAAATCAATGGACGTTTCTTAAAAGAAAATTGTTATCTCTTAAAAGTCACTGCTCATCTCTGAATGGTGTCATGTCTGAAGATGGATTGGATTGCATACAACACTTGAAACCTTTACCAGACTTTTTTTTTTTTAACCCAGAATAAGTATCCCAGCAGCCCTAATAATTCACACGGCTGAACCATTTCACTTACAGACTGAACATTAACATTCAAGCAGAGGCAGATTTTTTTTCAGCTGCAGAAACTTGCATATGTTGTGTCAGCACAAAGTCAAGAACAAGCCCTGCAGCTACCAGGTGACACCTTCTATACAAATGATCCAGCAGAGTGCATCAGTGACACCTACTGGTCACTGCGTCAGTGTGCAGGACATATCCCAGAAGGGGCCCGTCATCAATCCAAAGGGTTTCTTCTGTTACAAATGACCATTAGCGAATGCACAAACTGCGCACAAATTCCAGTGTGGATCATCGCTGCGAGTCAGGGAACAGACTTGGAACTAGCATGCAGCTTCTAGGACAGGCGATGATTGCTTTTATCAGATATTTGGGGTAATAACAGATTCCCTTTTAAAAACAAATTCAAGTAGGAACGAGGTAAAGTCGTGTGATCGTCAGTAAACGATGCGCTGTGTACTCATGGTAATAGCTGGCGCGTCCGCTCGCAAAGTCAGCAAACGAGCTTCAGCTAGTACCTGCCTGGAGTGTCCACCAGGTGTCACTGTGTGCTGCTTCTGTAGATTAGAATGACTGTATGAAAAGTAAAAGCTGCAACCACATCGCCACCTAGCGAATAAATATCAGAAATGCATCCCAAACCTATTCTGACTCTTCTCACGTACATGTAACAAGGAGCATTTTTATTTTTTTGCTAGAAAATTACTTACAACCCCAAAACATTAAGAAGTGTGTATATATATATATATATATATATATATATATATATATATACACACACACATATTATATATATATATATATATATATATATATATATATATATATATATACATACACACACACATATACATATATACATATACACACACATACATATATACCTATAGTGTTTGTTTTTTTTAAAGCATAGGCCTTACAGAATAAAATGATGGGTGTTGCAATTTTTATGTCACACGGTATTTGCACAGCAGTCTAGCCACTTGCTGCCTCCCAAGCCTATGATATTTTTCACGTAAATGTAAAAATCTGGATTTTGTTAGGTAGAAAATTTACTTCCATTACCCAAACATACATTTGTGTGTGGGTGTGTTGTAAGTAATTTTCTATCAAAACAAAATTGCCGATTTTAACATTTATGTGAGAAGAATCATAGGCTTGGGAGGCAGCACGTGGCTAAACTGCTGTACAAATACCGTGTGACATAAAAAAAAAAAAAATTGCAACACCCATCATTTTATTCTGTAATGCCAAATGCTTAAAAAAAAAACCAAAAAAAATGTTTTTTATTTTTTTGTTTGTTTTTTTTTAAGCATTTGGCATTACAGAATAAAAATGATGGGTGTTGCAATTTTTTTTTTTTGCACAGCAGTTTAGCCACTTGCTGCCTCCCAAGCCTATGATTCTTCTCACATAAATTAATAAATCAGCATTTTTTATTTCTAGAAAATTTACTTAAACACACACACACACACACACGTGTGTATGTATGTTTGGGCATTGTAAGTAAATTTTCTACCTAAAAATTGCAGATTTTTACATTTATGTGAAAAATATCAATGGCTTGGGAGGCAGCAAGTGGCTAAACTGCTGTGCAAATACCGTGTGGCATAAAAACAAATTGCAACACCCATCATTTTATTCTGTAAGGCCAATGCTTAAAAAAAAAAAAAAAAAAAAAAAAAAAAAAAAAATAATATATATATATATATATATATTTATATATATATATATTTTTTTTTTTTTTTTTATTTATTTTTAATACGTATTTTTTTTTTTTTTTTTTTTAAAGCATTGGCCTTACAGAATAAAATGAGGGGTGTTGAAATTTTTTTTATGTCAAACTATATTTGCATAATAGTTTTTTTTTTTTTTTTTTACACAATTTGTTGGGGAAGAAAATACATCTATATTGTGTTTTTATGCATTAAAATTAAATACTCAATTGGTAAAATATAAAAGATGGTGTTAAGCTGAGTGAATGGATACCTAACACATCACGCTTTAAAACTGCGCATTCTCGTGGAACGGTGCCCAACTACAGTACTTAAAAAATCTCCGCAGGCGATGCTTTATAAGCCATTACAGGTACAAGTTTAGGGTTACACAGGGGGGCGGTGCGAGAATAATCGCTCCTGTTCTGACGTTTGGGACGATACCTCACATGTGTGGTGCGATCAAGGTTTACATATGCCTGCAGGACCTACATGTTCATTCGCATGCGAGCATGGGGGCACTTCAAACTTTTTTATTATTATTTATTTAAAACTATTTTTGCACTACTATTTTTTTTTTTTTTAAATCAATTTTATTGCTCTCACAAAGTGATGAACAAACTCCTTGTGATAGCATGGGCCATGACACGTTTTCTCTGTGGAGAGATCTGGGGTCTATTAGACCCCAGATCTCTCCGCTGGCTTCCAACTCAGCTGATCAGATCTGTTTTCAATGGTCGGTAACAGGCCAGTAAACAAAGTACCGAAACCAAAAGTGACTAAATCCTCATCGCTTCCGGCTTGTGATCACACAGAGAGAGGAACAACATCAGTTCCTCTCTCTCCGCTCGCTGATGGAGATGGTCAGAGCAGTCCCGGGTTCCCCAATGGGATGGAAGAGCACAGGAAAGGCGGAAGAGGACCTCCTTCTGCCATCTGTGATCAAGCGGCTCTATAGCAGCTCCATTCACTTCTACACAAAAGAGCATCACCGACTGAATGCATCTGTCTTGTACTGCAGGCATCAGCCCGGTACAACCACGTAAACCCCAGGATGTCATATGCTGTCCACCCAGGGGGAAGTGGTTATCTGAAGCAGCACCGGCTACATACAGTATACGTTCTCTGTTGTCATTTATATAAAATCAGATGTAAAAAAAAAAAAAAAATATGCAATCAACCTGTGACAAGACATCTGAAAATATAAATAGACACTTAAGGGTGTATTTATAATAATAGTAATAATAACATTATTATTATTGATATTAAATATTATTAATAATAATAAAAAAAAATAATAATAAAAAAGTTCTCAAGCATTCGCACAGCCCTCATAAAAGATTCTTGTATTCTGCATAATCTATTTCCTATGATCATTAGCTCCATCTAGTGGCCTTAATGCAGTATTTTCCTGAAATATCTCAATCAGGAAAATAATGATTTATGGCCACTAGATGGAGCTGATGATCATAGGAGATAAACACATTTGGCAAAAAATATTTGTGAAAGCTGTGCAAATGCTCGAGATGTTCAAACAAGAAATTTTTTTTTAATTAATAAACCCCCAAATGCATTCACTTATAGCCGGCTACATAAGAAACAGCCTGGTTAAGAGCCGCCCTATAACTGAACACTTACCCTGGTCAATGGAGTGCTGGGGCAGCTGGCTGAGCTGACTAGTGACCACTCCAGCATACGACCGCAGGAATGCTTCCTCACTAGGGGTGAGCTATGGGAAAAACAGAAGAGACGTGTTACTTTCTGAAACAAAAGAGCTCACAACATGGCTTTGAAAACTTAAAACAGTGTGCTGCTTTGATTGCCAGATGCAGTGCAGAAAGAACACCGACATCAATGTTAGTGGACCAGAAGTGAGAAATATTCTAAATATTCCCGATATCCTCTTTTGATCGGGACCTTTCCCCGATCATGTGACCGCCGTGACAGCGCATCACATGACCCTAAACCCCGCCCCACCTCCCGGAACCCTTAAAGGGCCGGGAGGCGCCGGCGTGAAAGACACAAATTAGCAGACGTTCTCATGTGTGTTATGACCGGTTCTCTTTAACACATTCTCCCCCTGAATACTCACATTGGAGCCCATCTTCCTCAGCATGAGCAGGACCCGCACTTTCTGCTGAACGTACATCTCTTCCGGACTCTTCCCGGGGGCCCCCTCGCGGTTCATGCCCCCTGCCCTGCTCCCTGCAAGAACCAAGAAAACAAAGCATGAGAGGTCTCATCGCACAGCACGACAGGGGATGGCCGCCTTCAGCATCACTACAACGGACATGGTCACATGTTGTGAAATCATAAATCCGACCCCCAGCCTCGTCTTCAGTCTTGCACCGGCTCCTCTCCCGGACTGAAACGGCTTCCTCTGATTTCACTGCACACTGCGAGCTTCTCACAACGTGCATTAGAAGCTGCAGAAAGTCACAGCCTGCCTTGTCGTCTCATTGTAGGGCACCCAGCATCATCTAGCACTTTCCTCCCCAGTCTGGCTGCCCCTGGCCCGCCCCTTTCATTCATTGGATTTCAGATCTTTCGACCATGGAGGCTCAGAATCACATGTGGGTGTTACCAGGTGCAGACGGACAACTCATGGGGCCCCTGGGCAATAGGGGATCATGGGGCCCCTGTGTCCTTGCCCACACTCAAAGCACACCCAAAAAAGCCTATAAAAAAGGTACCAGGGGCATTTCATGGGGCCCCCTACTGACCCCGGGCCATCGGGCAGTGCTCGAATGGTCAGTCCGCCCCTGGGTGTTACTGTATGCAAATACTCATCACGTCCTGCACATGCTCAGAAACACGTCGCATTTTGATGACGTCAGACGCCACATGTGCTGATCCTGGACATCTTGGAGACTCTACCAGGCTTCACCAGCTATGCTTCATATGCACAGCACCATCTGCTGGCAGACACCTGGGAGATTCCACCAGGCTTACCATCCATGCTGCCTATGCACGGCACCATCTGCTGGCAGACACCTGGGAGATTCCACCAGGCTTACCATCAATGCTGCGTATGCACGGCACCATCTGCTGGCAGACACCTGGGAGATTCCACCAGGCTTTCCATCCATGTTGTGTATGCACGGCACCATCTGCTGGCAGACACCTGGGAGATTCCACCAGGCTTACCATCCATGCTGCATATACACGGCACCATCTGCTGGCAGACCTGGGAGATTCCACCAGGCTTACCATCCATGCTGCATATACACGGCACCATCTGCTGGCAGACACCTGGGAGATTCCACCAGGCTTTCCATCCATGTTGTGTATGCACGGCACCATCTGCTGGCAGACACCTGGGAGATTCCACCAGGCTTACCATCCATGTTGCATATACACGGCACCATCTGCTGGCAGACACCTGGGAGATTCCACCAGGCTTACCATCCATGCTGCATATACACGGCACCATCTGCTGGCAGACACCTGGGAGATTCCACCAGGCTTACCATCCATGCTGCATATACACGGCACCATCTCCTGGCAGACACCTGGGAGATTCCACCAGGCTTACCATCCATGTTGCACATGCACAGCACCATCTGCTGGCAGACACCTGGGAGATTCCACCAGGCTTACCATCCATGTTGCACATGCACAGCACCACCTGCTGACGGACTCAATCGCTCTCTCTAGATCAGACACACATCATCTGGCTACAGACGTCCCTCCCTCTTACCCATGAGCCGTTTTTTAATTTCTAAGATGTGAGTTATTACTTACCTTTTTATTAAATCCCTTCACAGTACACACTTAGAGGCGCTGTGTCTTTGTTTTCCCTGTTACTGTATGCAAATACAGCCTGCCTAGGAACACCCACTCCTCCAGACTGACACTCACCCATCAAAGCATTTTAATATTTGCATAACTCCTCCCAAAATCCAGCCCACTACTTGCATCAGGACTGAGGCTTGAGAGGAGTACTGAGGCAGGGTGCTGTGATGTTTTCAGAAAGCTATATACAGCTCCCTGACTCCTCCCACCAGCCATGATCTGCTTGCATTGCATAGTGAAGCACAGAGAAGTAGTGATGACATCACAAAACTTAAAAAAAAACGCGATATGTAATGAAAACATGAAAGTTTTAGTTAACCACTTCCATACCGGCACTCAGGCTCCATGCAGACTAGCGGTTTTTAAGCTCCTAGAAGCTAAAAAGTGTTCTCCTATGTGTCTGTGCACGCTGCTTTAGGCTATTAACATTTTTTGAGTTTCAACGTCTAGCAGAAAAAAAAAAAAAATTGTATTTGTAGAGTTTTTTGCAACCAAGAAAAAAACGAACAAACAAACAAAAAAAAAAAAAAACACCACGTTAAAATGCTTACAGGTATATTCTAGCGTTTTCCCCTCTACATTTACTGTAAAACCGCTAACGCTCTAAAATGCTTCTGAACGCTACTAAAATACTATTACCAGCAATTTTTTAGCTTTTTTTAAAAAAAAAAAACAAAACAAAACTTACTCCCTTCCTGCCCAGGACAATTTCCAGCTTTCAGCACTGTCGCACTTTGAATGACAATTGCGCGGTCATGCAACACGGTACTCAAACTAAATTGTTATAATTTTCCCACACAGAGATTTCTCTTTTGGTGGTATTTGATCACCACTAGGCATTTTATTTTTTGCTAAAACGGGGGAAAAAAAGAAAAAAAGAAATTTTTAAAAAAATAAATACCTTTTTCTTTGTTTCTGGTATAAAATTTAGCAAATAAATGTAGGTAAAAATGTATCCTGCTAGCAACAAAAAAAAAAAAAAAAAAAGCTAGTGTGCACGGAGACTTACTCCCTTCCTGCCCAGGCCAATTTTCAGATTTCAGCGCTGTCGCACTTTGAATGACAATTGCGCGGTCATGCAACACGGTACCCAAACTAAATTTTTATAATTTTTTCCATACAGAGATTTCTCTTTTGATATTGGATCACCACTAGGCATTTTATTTTTTGCTAAACGGGAAAAAAAAAAAAGAAATAAATACCTTTTTCTTCATTTCTGGTATAAAAATTTAGCAAATAAATGTAGCTAAAAATGAATCCTGCTAGCAACAAAAAAAAAAAAAAAAAAAAAAAAAAGCGGCAAAAACGAAGTGCAAAAACACACCAAACGCAATGCAGAAACGGCTCAAACGCAACGGCTGCATAGCTGTGAACCGCCTAAATGAGAAGCGATTAGGAAGGGCTCACCTCTTGCTGAAGGATTCCCTTGGCGTGACCAATCACACTGGAGACAGGGGACCCTAAAACAGAGAAAAGCCTCAGACATCAACCAACCACAAACACCAGACAATATTTGGAGAGAATATACTGCGCTTCCCTCTATTAACAGGTATCTGAATCAATACAATTGTTATATAATCCTCTACATTAAAATCTGCCACCCCGGGATCCCTACCATTGTGCCGCCCCAACCTCTCCTCCATCTCTCAGATACGCGGTCCATACCAGTTACTTTTTATCAGTACAAGCTCCATACAATCCCTTTTTTAAGCCGCCCATATGCTAGTAAACTCGTTTGAAATTTTTTGATTTAAATACATTTGTTTTTCTAGCAGGTAGTGGAATCGAACCGACTGCAGTGAGAATCCGAAGGAGGGGAAGGGAAAGTTTTTCTCTAATGAACAAATTTCCAACAATTACCAGAAATTTTGGGATTTTTAACCCCTTCCAGTCCGGACACTTTCCCCCCCCCCCTTCCAGCCCGGACACTTTCCCCCCCCCCTTCCAGCCCGGACACTATCAGCCCCCCCCCTTCCAGCCCGGACGGACACTTCCCCCCCCCCCCCTTCCAGCCCGGACACTTCCCCCCCCCCCCCCCCCCCCCCCCCCTTCCAGCCCGGACCCCCCCCCCATTCCACTTCCCCCCCCCCCCTTCCAGCCCGGACACTTTCCAGCCCGGACCCCCCCCCTTCCAGCCGGACACTTTCCCCCCCCCTTCCAGCCCGGACACTTTTTCCCCCCCCCCCTTCCAGCCCGGACACTTTCTCCCCCCCCCCCTTCCCCCCTTCCAGCCCGGACACTTTCCCCTTCCCCCCCTTCCAGCCCGGACACTTTCCAGCCCCCCCCCCTTCCAGCCCGGACACTTTCCCCCCCCCCTTCCAGCCCGGACACTTTCCCCCCCCCCCCCCTTCCAGCCCGGACACTTTCCCCCCCCCCCCTTCCAGCCCGGACACTTTCCCCCCCCCCTTCCAGCCCGGACACTTTCCCCCCCCTTCCAGTCCGGACACTTTCCCCCCCCTTCCAGCCCGGACACTTTCCCCCCCCTTCCAGCCCGGACACTATCACCCCCTTCCAGCCCGGACACTATCCCCCCTTCCAGCCCGGACACTTTCCCCCCCTTCCAGCCCGGACACTTTCCCCCCCTTCCAGCCCGGACACTTTCCCCCCCTTTCCGGACACTTTCCCCCCCTTCCAGTCCGGACACTTTCCCCCCCTTCCAGTCCGGACACTTTCCCCCCCTTCCAGTCCGGACACTTTCCCCCCCTTCCAGTCCGGACACTTTTCCCCCCCTTCCAGTCCGGACACTTTCCCCCCCTTCCAGTCCGGACACTTTTACCCACTTCCAGTCCAGGCCAATTTTCAGCTTTCAGCGCTATCACACTTTGAATGACAATTGCGCGGTCATGCAACACTGTACCCATATGAATTTTTTGAAACAGATAAAGCTTTATTTTGGTGGTATTTATCACCACTGGGATTTTTATTTTTTTTTTTTGCTATGTAAATGAAAAAGTCCAAAAATTTTGAAAAAAAAAAAAAAAAGTGTTTTTCTTATAAAATTTTGCAAATAAATAATATTTCATCATAAATCTTGGCCAAAATGTATTCCGTTATCTTTTTAGTTAAAAAAAAATAACCCAAATTAGTTTATAACCAAAAATTATAAATTTTTAAACTTTTTTTTACATTTTTATTTTTTTATATTTTATTTTTTTACATACTGTCACCCTAGCAGCACAGTGTCACCATGGTGACACTGTACTACTTTTGGGGGGGTGATGAAGGTTTTTTTTTTTTTTTTTACACTGATTGCTTTTACAGCCTTTATGGGTGTAAAAGCAATCATTTCTCCTTCCCTCTGGCTGCATTCTTGCAGCCATTGAGAACTACTGAGTGAGCTGTGATTGGTCACAGCTTGTCACATGGTACAAGGCTGTTGTGAATAGCCCTGTACCATGTGATCTCTGTGATCATTCACAGATTTCACACGTAGTGACATCATTGCTTACTACTCTGCATGTGATCATTGATTGGCCAATCGGGACCTCGCACAGAGGTCCTGTCCGACGATTGGTGTTCCACTGTGTCCGGAGGACACAGCGGGCACCGGATCGCGGTGCTGAGCGCTCCCAGGGAGCGCGCACAAGCAGGGTGCGGGGAGGCTGTTTATAAACGGCCACCCAACCCTGCACTGCCACCGTCCAGCCGTTTATATACATGGGCTGGACGGGAAATGGTTAAGGTGCACAACCAAACGTATGCAGGCCATATACGGGTCGAATTCCGAACAAACTTTCTTTAGAAAATAGGAAATTTAGTGTGCTTTGTAATCCGATGACGCCACCATTGACTTCGAAACTCGACCCACCGAGCCTTCCATTTCACTTCATGTTGCTACAGAAAAGAATTTTCATGGCCAAGAATTTTCTTTCCTTTCCAGGTCACAGCTCATTTCTTTTTCGTTTATATTTCCCGCAGGATTCTCCCATCATTGATTCGAAATTTGTTCATTTTTCAAAGAATTTCCAACATGCCCGATCACTCAAATTCAATGGTCGCACGAAAAATGTGACCCACTAATGGTGCGAAATTCTAACGAAAATGCTTAGAAAAGATTTTAGAAAAAAAATCTTTCGGAATTCAACTCGTGTATGGCCGGCTTTAGTCATTAAAAAAAAAAAAAAAAAACGAAAAAACAACAGTTTATTGGTATCATTAAAAATCCATTCAATTTAAAAGCAATTACAAACACTTCACAATCACATAGGGCAGCACAGTGGCTAAATGGTTAGCACTCCCGCCTGGCAGATCGCTGGTTCGAATCCCAACCACGGCACCACCTGCCTGGAGTTTGCATGTTCTCCCTGTGCAGGTTTCCTCCAGGTACTTCGGTTTCCTCCAACACTTCAAAAACATGCTGGTAGGTTAATTGGCTGCTGTCTAAATTGTCCTAGTATGTGTATGTATGAATATGAGTTAGGGACCTTAGATTGTACGCCCCTTGAGGGTTAAGGGACTGATGTGAATTTACAAAAAAAAAAAAAATATAATAATAATAAAAAAAAATTTATATATATATATATATATATATATATATATATATATATATATATATATATATACACACACACACACACACACACACACACACACACACACATATATATATGCTGCGTAAATTGACAGTCCTATATAAGTACCTGAAATATATAAATCACATGCAGCTTGACTGTTTTTGTGGTATGCACATGTCAAATCCCAACACGTTTTGCCTACCCTGGGCTTCTTCAGGGGAAAAAATATCTGCAAACAGTCTAAAATTGTGTCA